TTTTTTGCGGTACCAGGACCTTGTGCTTGCCAGGCAAACACTTATTCTACTGAGCCATCTCCCCGGCTGTTTATATACATTTTTAAGTGTTTAATTTTAAATTTAATCAAAGTATATGAATAAGAAGAAAAGTGTACAGCAGGGTCGGTTTTAGAAATATCTACTATTCCAGAATCACCTGAAAAGGCATTGCTGTAGTATCTGGACAGAGTCTGCATGATGTCCTTCGAGTGCTGGGTCCACGGGGCTATCTTTCTGTAGGTCTTTACCCGATGAACAAGCTGAGAACCACCGTACTGAAGGGACAGGGTATCGCCATGATCTTCATAGAGCTCCTCAAACAACCTAGGCACAAGAAAACTCACATTAAACATTCATCTAACACCTATCTGTCCATCCACCCATCCATCCACCCACCCATCCACCCATCCACCCACCACTCATCCATCCAAATGTATCTTGGGCAATGGGGCACCGTTTTGGTGCTATTGGGTATTGAACTCAGTCCTGTACTGCACTACATTCCCAGCCCTTCTTATTTTGCAGTGGGGTTTCACTAAGTTGTCTACGCTGCCCTTGAACTTGCTATCTTCCTGCTTCAGACTCCTGGGTAGCTGAGACCACTGGCATGTGGCACTGCACTTGGAAAAATGTATTGTATTCATAATAATATGCCAATAAGATCTCAGAAAACACTAAAGAAAGCAAAGGCACCAAAAACATAACCCATGAAACCCAGACCAACTGTGTCCAGCCGTATTAGAAGACTCCTGACACTGTAGCCTGCCCGACCAGAGCACCTCCCACAACAGATTCTGCTCCCTAGAGATGCCTTGGGAGAACCACGTGCTCTTGTAGGTGGTGCACTACTCCAGGTTTGTAGAGCAAAATAGGGTAAACTAGGTGGCTTCTAAACACATCTTTAAAAAAATGGAGGCAGGAAAGTACACAATAAAGGTGCCAGCAGCTTCAGGGTGCTGCGAGGGCCCATACTCCAGTCCACAGATCGGCTGCTTGTTGCAGCCTCACGTGATGGAAGGGCCAGCTGGCTCTCTGTAGCCTTTTTTAAAATAAAGGCACTAATCCCAAAGATGAGGGTCCCCCGTCAGGCTCATCACTTCCCAAAGGACTCTCCTCTGGGTAAGGACTTCAGCTTTTCTGAGTGTACGGTACTGGGAATTGAACCCAAGCCCTTGGCACTCAGCTGCATCTCCAGCCCTCTTTGAACAACTGTTTTTATTTTTTATTTTTTTTGTCAGAACCGGGGATTGAACTCAGGCCCTTGCACTTACCAGGCAAGCGCTTATTCTAGTGAGCTATCTCCCCGGCCCCTACAACTGTTTTCATTTTGAGACACAGTCTTGCTAAGCTGCTAAGTTATCCAGTTTGGGCTCAAACATTCTACACATTAATTTGAGGAGACACAAGCATCCTGACCATAGTAGACAGGTAACGTGTATCCTCGCATAGAAGTATGTACACATGTAACCCTGCGCTCCTCGAGCGCCCTTTAGTGCGCTGCTCTCTGTCCATGTGGTCAACGCATAGGCTGCTCATTTCCTCAGCTGAGCCCTTATGAAAACCTCAGAAAACTATTTATTAAAAACTATCAGGGGCGCCAGGGAGATGGCTCAGTGGAATAAATGCTTCCCTGGAAAGCACAAGGGCCTGAGTTCAATCCCCAGTACCTCAACAAAACAAAACAAAAAACCTGTCATTTTATTTTAAAAAAATAGTCCTCACACAATGTCACAAAGGGCAGTGAGTAAACGGTAGTCCCTACGGAGGAATCAATCTTCTATGTCTTTACATCTTACAGCTTGAGTTCAAAATGTATAAATCCAGTCACTGTTCACTGGCAGCTGGATTTTTCACCCATTAGTTTGTCTAAGGACTTCATATTTATCTAGAAAACAGTGATAATTAAAACAAACCAAAAAAAAACAAAAAACAAAAACAAAAAAACAAACTCCTAAAATCAAACCATTTTACCTTGATTGAATCTTTAGCAGAATTATTGCTTACCCAATTAATTTGCCAGGCAGGTGCTTGTGCCACCGAGCTATATCCACAAGCCCTTGCCCAATTAATTTGAATACTGTCTTCTGACAACAATCTTTGAGAAGATAAAGTAGAGTCAAGCTCATAAAGTTCTTAAAATCAATCGGGTTTGCTGTCTGTCATTGCTGGCGCTCAAATGGCCCACAGTAAGACTTACCTGACTGCATCTGTATCAAACTGCAGATTGGGCTTATCAATGAGCCCCAAAGAATACAGCTGATAGGCCAGCGCACATTTCCCCACCATAAACTGCGCTGTGTTGGTGCGGTCTAGACAGTCCACACAGTTGGTCCGGAGGATGCCAGTCTGGAGAGAAATGACAAGAGTTTCTAATCACTGTTCAATCACCAACACTACTTCCATACTGCATAAGAATGCTTCTATTAAAGGAATAGAAGCAAGGCTGCTGGCAAATATTATTTCTGAGCAAATAAAATAAAAGGTCAAAATAACAAAAAGCATTTAAAATTATGTAAGTTAAATTTGCTGCTCACTTACTGCTCTAGTAGCATCGATAAAACTAACACATGTACACACGCATATATACTTAATGCCTTCACTTCCTGGAAAGTTACCAAGGCAACAAGGTGCAATTTCACGTGGACTTCTCTGCCGTATTTCCCTTCCTCTGCAAAGTAAAGAGCCAGTGGTTCACACCGCACCATTCTTAAGGAACTGTTAGCAGATACAGTGCAAACTGGCTGCCTTGCCAAAGCTGTTCTCACTTATTTTTTTCACATTCCTACTTGTGTTTCTGTTTCCAGTAATGAAATTTAATATAGAAAAAATTCATGTCATATTATTCCAGTTACACAGTTTCCAAAAGATTTAAATAATAACAAAAAGCTTTTAAAAATCACTCTCAACAAAAAACAAAACAAAATAAAAATAAAAATCACTCTCAATAAAGCCATAAAAGTAGAAAAAAAATCACTCTCAAGTGATTAATTTTTTTTTTCTTTTTTGGTATTTTTTAGGGAAGGGCCTACAGGGTGTTCAGGGTCTCACTACTAACTACATCAGACTTGTAGTGATGCGCCTGTTTACAGCCTCCCAAGTGCTGGGATTATAGGCACAAATCACCACACCCAGTCTCAACTGCCGTCTCAGTGCGCCCCGGGAGCAGCGCCGGCATAGCAGGCCTGGGGACTGAACCCTGGCCTCTGCGCCTGCTTGCAGGTGCTTTAATCACTGAGCTATTTGGCTGGCCTGTGATTAATAATTCTATATGAAATAATGGCTTCTGAAAGAACACACACACTGGGGATACAAATTTTATTCCTTACGAATATATTTTCAGCAGTACCTGCAGGCGACCAGTGGGTATCACACATCCTCCTAGTTCATTCCACCTGTGTTTAAAAATAAATATTTTACAAGATTTTTTTCTCCAGAGCTGGAGACTGCACTACTCAGCTTGCTTGAGCACACCATGTATCTTATCACTTGAGCTATAGTCCCAGTCTGCTGGATTTTTTAAAAAGTTTCATAGCAATGTATATATTTGGTAAGAATCATAGAACCTAAGTAACATATCAGCAGGCACTAGGCGACCAGCTGGCTCTGCGCACATATGTTCTTTCAGGTATGTGAACAGGCAAGTAACCGAGAGAGGCTGCTCGCCACGCTCTTCGCACAGACAGCCTGAGAGCTGCACCCCAACACCCCCAGTACCTGAATCTCCGGGACTCTGGCATCCTGTTCAGACTCCCTGGCACCCTGTTCAGGCACCCTGTCACACTGCTCAGGCACTATGGCACCCTGTCCAACCGAAGTCTGCCTCACTTCCACTTGTTAGACTTCCAGGGACACACAGGGCACTTTTCTAGTGACACCGCGCACACCTTAGCCTTCTCCACTGGCTCCTAGGGTTTCCCACCTCCTCCAGCATGTCTCCACCAAGACAGTCACATTCCTATGGTTTTCTGTGCACAGTTCCCTTTAGAAGCTACCTATTTCCCCATGTGGTAATAGACGGATAGGAATGCATTATAATATTTTACTTGGTTGGCTCCTATTTTCAAAGAAGTTTTATTATGGGTCGTATGCTGTCAAACACATTCCAGTTCTTTGTGGGAAGAAGAGCGATTCACGCCGCTCACTTTCTCTTCCTATTTTAATCCTTGCCACAGCCACCTAACCTCCAGCGACCACCACTCTCATCAGCCAGTCGGAGGGCATCCACAAAGAGGTGAGCCCTGCTGCCAGCGAGACTGTGACGCTCTGAGGCCCCACGGGAATTTTCAACAATAAAATATTTTTTCACTAAGGTATTTACATCATTTGCTGAGGTATGGTGATATCGCTCACCTAATAGATCATAGTACTGTATGGCATAAACATAATTTTTAGATACACTAGGAAATACAAAATTTCATGCAATTCACTTTATTATAGTGTTCTGGATTTGAATTGCAATATATTCAAGGTATGTGTGTAATAAACTTTTGGGAAAATTTTCAATATAATTATGGGAAATGTAAATATATAAATAAAAATGGAATAAAAATTTTTAAAAAATGACTTATTTAAAAGAAGGTGCTAGGCAGGAATTAGCGATCCTAAGAAAGGCCCACCTACAAGGTTGTCTCTTGGCCAGCACCTGGGACTTGGATTCGGGACGGCTCCGCCACTCACAGACCTGGAAGTAGCTGAGAGTGTCTTAACTACCTGCAGAGAGAGCACAGCTTTTGCTGAGCTCCTGCCTTCCCCAGGGAGTCGGACTTCTGGCACATGCCCGGCAGAAGCTTGAAGGCCACCTACCCTTGAAGGCCAGGCTCCAGCGAGCCAGCTTTCCTGGCTGGCGGCCCTGCAGACGCCACCACAGAGAGCACCACAACGTACTTTGGGGGAACTGTGTCTCCACGACTCTGCCAGAAGACTGGAAACTGCTGCCTGGTGTCCTCTAGAATCTGTGCCTCCGATCTTCCCCTCCGCTAATTTCACTCCCCAGCCTTCCACAGAGTAAGTCACACCCAGAGTACCGTCAAAGCTGAGGCCCATGAGCTGTGAGAGCACTGACGTAGGACGCGGGCACAGTCGCGGGCCCGCCACAGGGGCTGCCGTTCACACTACGGCAACGCCAACTGAGCCAGCGTCACTGCTTCCCAACACACACTCACAGCTTCTCGGCTCTTATTTTTTTCTCATTGTAATTAACTATGTTAACTGAAAACAAAAGCCTGGATTTTTACAATTTTGATTCTGTAAAAGGCAAGAATCCTTGACCTGAAGGAGCTTACAAACCAGTGAGATTTGTAAGCAAGTAATTATAAACAATGGTGGATACTGTTTTCATAAAAATATTAGTGTTCAGTTCAGCAGAAAAAAAAATTCCCTGATTCTCCCACTAATGGAGCATTAGAATTTACTGAAGAAAATTTTATCTTACAAATAAATTGTATGCAATGTTTTAAATTCCACAGAGGAAGCGTCTGCCCCCACAGGTTCCTCTCGGGGCGTACAACCACGGGAGGACTCTCAGGCTCACAGGGAACACTCAGGAATGTACAGGCCAAAAGCCGCTCGCCCCCGAGGACTCAGTTCACCCGCGTACCACAGAGCACTGACAGCTCACAGGGAGCAACTGTCCTCACAGACAAATCTCAGTGTGGTTAAGGGCTACAAATACTTACTTTTCATCTGGCCTTAAAATGCTGCAGTAAGAATCAGGGCGGTTTACGAAGAAACCTGTTTTCTTCACCACACTTTCTGCAATCACACTGAGTCGATCAAGAACATTGCACAGCTTGCTGGAGAAAGAACACACGTGAGAGCCGGAGCTGTAATGCGTACTTACTCTCATATCTAAAGCAAACGCCGCTGCAACGACAGTCACGTATTTTTAAAAAATGGCTTGTACTTAATAGGAATAACGCAATGATTAATGTCAGGCACATAACATGTACTCAGTAACAAGCAACACGGGATGCCGCAGAGACCCGAGGGACTTGTAGCTCAGCATCAAATGCTGGCATCCCTAATTTGGAGCATGTCATCTCCACAGCAGCTTCCCCAGAGCAGTTCCCTGCTCAGGAGT